TCCGCCATCTTGGTTTGTTTCGGCTGCCGTGAGACGCGCATGCGCGCAGGTTTGCATTACATCATTAACAGCTGAGCATTACATAAGCGTCACTTTTTGGCAGAGCGGCACAACTCGGCAGAACACCTGCTCTCCAACTGAAACAGAATTCTTGAACAAAAACTTAACCTCAGTCTCAGCATAATTTACTGTTTTATTTATTCTTCAGGAAGTAGATATCTGCTCTGCATGCACGCCGGCGTCGTTTACACACATTCATGCAAGCTCCTATGAAAGACAGATATTTTTGAATTGGTAAAAATCCAATCCAAACTAATGACCTTAAAACCATCCGCTTAAGCAAACCCCTTTAGCTTTCATTTCCCGGCCTTGACACCGGCCTAATGTTGTGTCCAATAACTCCCACGGACCTTTCTAATATAGGTGTGTGTAATAAAGCTGCCATAAGGAGCGCCGGAGCCAATAACCAAAGAGCACAGCTAACAGCCAAACTGATTCACGACTGACCAGGCCGGGAACAGGATAAACAGCCAATCTCTGCCTTTTCTATTATTTACGTCCGGACTATATTCAAAGATTCCAATTACCCCCAGATTACTTCAACAAATAAATTAGCTGCAGGTGGAGACGTGATTAATAATGCAAGTGTAAATAAGGCAAAGGGGTTGAACTTTTTTTAAGGTGGATTTTTCAGCACCACGGACAGTTCGTTAGCCGGCCCAGCCACTGCTCTGTGCCTTGAGGGTCCCAGCATGCATTGTGTGCAAAGCAGAGACAACACGCAGCCTGCCTTCTGCTCCTAGGATCATTACTGCTCCCATTAAGCATTAAATTCGCAATCAATTTCCCAACGCTGGACAGCAACAAAAACATTTAATTTCTTCCCCCCCTTCTCGTTTTCAGTGGCACTTAAAAACAACGCAGTTTTTATGATCCTAATTTAATCCGGGCTAAAGCTGTTTTCCTGCCGCGGCTTTGCAGAACATTATGTCCATCATACAAGCTACAAGCGTTGGATTTATGACATGGGATTTTTTTCTTTTTTCTAAGTCAAAGCTTTTTGAATGGTGTTGACGAATGCATGCCCTTCACGTTTTTAGTGCTTGATTTTGAGGCTAATGGCTGATTATTCTTTCATTTTTCTTTCTCTCATCAGGTCAGTGATCATAAACATGTCATAGAGATCACTTGTGACACATTGGGTTGTTTTAATGCAGCCATCTTAGAGTTATCTGAGTCATAAAACCTCCTCTCCACATGTGTATTTTTAGGTCTATGCAGGGTTAAAACAAATGAATGAATACATGAATTAAAAACACAGGTAATTACAAAAACAATTACAATCACACATGTGTTTTCATATTTACATTGGTGTGTGTGTATGTGTTTGTGTGTGTAGGTACGTGTGTGTGTGTGTGTGTGTACTGTGGTGTGTATCTAGGTAGATGTGTGTGTGTGTGTGTAGGTACGTGTGTGTGTGTTTACAGTGGTGTGTGTGTGTGTGTGTACAGTGGTGTGTGTGTGTGTGTGTGTGTACTGTGGTGTGTATCTAGGTAGATGTGTGTGTGTGTATGTGTTTGTGTGTGTAGGTACGTATGTGTGTGTGTGTTTACAGTGGTGTGTGTGTGTGTGTGTGTGTGTGTACGTATGTCTTTGTGTGTGTGTGTGTGTACAGTGGTGTGTATGTTTGTGTGTGTGTACTGTGGTGTGTATCTAGGTAGATGTGTGTGTGTGTGTGTATGTGTTTGTGTGTGTAGGTACGTATGTGTGTGTGTTTACAGTGGTGTGTATGTGTGTGTGTGTATGTGTTTGTGTGTGTAGGTACGTATGTGTGTGTGTTTACAGTGGTGTGTATGTGTGTGTGTGTATGTGTGTGTACGTATGTCTGTGTGTGTGTGTACTGTGGTGTGTATGTGTGTGTCTGTGTGTGTGTTTACAGTGTGTGTATGTATATGTTTGTATATGTGTGTGTGTGTGTGTGTGTGTGTGTGTGTGTGTGTGTGTGTGTGTGTATGTATGTCTGTGTGTATGTATGTATGTCTGTGTGTGTGTGTGTGTGTGTGTGTGTGTATGTGTATGTGTATGTATGTGTGTGTGTATGTATGTCTGTGTATGTGTATGTCTGTGTGTATGTATGTGTGTGTGTGTGTGTGTGTGTGTGTCTGTATAGATGCTAGCTGCTATCTTGACCCATCCACCCATCACCCTCATTGCCCCCATCATCCCTTCTTTTTTGTAAGCCAGTTTGCATTCATGTGTCTATGTAAGTAAGTAAGTCCTCTTTAATTATATAGCGCCTTTCACAGACCAGAGTCACAAAGCACTTTACAATTGTGTGCCTTTGTCTCTCACTCCACACTGTTCTAAGGTCATTAAACATGCTCAGACTTAGCGTCACACGGTTGTATCCAGTTAGCACATGATTTCACAATGCCGTTACCATAACAACAGAACATACCTGGGGATAATTGGACTAAACCGGTTGATATAACGTATAGTGTCACCATCCCACCGTGTATATAATGAGACCGAAGCCTTTGCATGCGTTGAATGAGAAACCCCAACGTCTCAAGCCATTTCCTCTGTCGTCATTATCACTGCAAAAATCATCTGTAATCCAGCAGCAACCAGTCATCTCAGCGTGGGCGTGGACCAGCTCTGGATTACAGAGATAATACCCCGCTAACAAGAGAGGCGGCGGCCGGATGATTGACTGCAGGACATCTCATTCCTTCACCTTTTCGTTTAGGAAAATAACTAGATTTGTCTCAACAATGGGCTAAACATGATCGTGGTTTTTGTTTGCAATCTTCTCTTGTGTAGATGCTGGATTTCACGGATGACTAAACGCAGGTCAAAACGTGTGTTAGTGTTAGTTTTAGTTTTGAAAGGTGTTGTGGGAGCATTACACAGGCTGGGCTCTCAGGGTCCATGTGAATGTTGATGTTTTGCCTCCGTTGTTGGAGAAATGCCAGTGTTGTTACTGTGAGGGAAAGGTCATATCTGTGGAGAGGAGAGCTGATTCAATAACAACACTTGTTAAAAATCTAAGAACTGTGTGCAAGTATAAGTTGACCTCGTTTTACTTTTGAATGCGCTGGAAACGCCTGCAAGTACTACCATTTGTATTGCTTTTTTCTGCCTGAGATGTTGCTGCAGTTCAGTGTTCATGGTTTTACACTGGTCCAGACCAGAGCAGAGAGGATTCATGGTTCGAACCAAGAGGATCAGACGAAAATCCACTGGAGGAACGCTAACTTTTTGAACAATGCTAATTTGATATACAACATTTTACTTTGGACCAGAGCAGAGAAAATGATTTGAACCAAGCTCCACCTCTGCTGCTGTGACCTGAAGGACTGTTGTGTTTTATTATTGCTAGCTACTCTTAGAATGATCTATTTATTTGTTCTGCTGTTACTGGACATCTGAATTTCTCCTACGGGGATCAATAAAGTATCTATCTATCTAACAAGCAAAGATAAGATCGCATGCAAAGCCGATAGATAGATACTTCACCGATCCCTGTAGAAGATCTTCACGTGTCCAGTAGCAGAAACACATCCATATAAACACATAAGCCCATCAATTATAAACATTTACCTTAAAAAAAGTGCATAGGAAGCGATAATGGACCGGAGTTTACAGATGCCTAAGACCAGGCTAGCTTCCTGGTATCCGCATCTTCAAACCTCCATGAATCCGTGTAGTTTGTGAAAGAAACGCTCTTTGAACATCCTTCTTGTTACTATAGTTTGCTCTGTGTAGCCACTTTGAAGGAAGGGATGAGAACAAATAGGATTTCGCAACAGAAGTTGAAAAAGAAAAATCCGTTTCGGCGGTCATTTGCATTCATAGTGGTCGGACGTCGCTGTGGTTCGTCCTTCAAAATCAATATAGTTTCGTTATGCATGGGTCTGAATGCAGAGAACTGGAGGAAGATTCATGTTGTGTGTCTTGGAGTGTGTTTTGAGTAAGACTGAAGAGCTACCCCGCCTTTGTCCCCATCACCCTATCCCTCTTTCTGTCCTCACACCCATGAGTAACCAGAAGGGAGAAGTCCTGCAGAACCATGTGGCTTCAGATAGTGCCAGCTCTGACAAATGAGACCAACCTTTCCTTTAAAAAAAAACTGCCAGCTGCCCGGACAAGCAGTTTTCTTGTTTTTCTTTGTCTCCCGCCAGTAATGTGTAAAGTTCCTATTCGAAACCATGCAGACAATGTTTTCAGTTAATAGTAATTGACCAACCAGCAATCAAGATGTCCAAGATTTCTAAATCAGTAGAGCTTTTTTCATTCAAACACAAATAATAGAATAATTCACAGTTTTGGAAAGGAGTTGGAAGCACTTAATTTTCCTACGGATTGAAAATATACAATATACTCTCTGACCCTACACCTCCTTTTTGTTCTTTTTGAATCAGTGGAATGACTTTTGCACCAAGTTATTACAAAAACACACATTTGTAGATTTCAGTACTTTTCTAATTCTAGTTCTAATTCTGTTATCACTTAGAATCCCAAGATTTTCCATCATTGTGTGTGTGTGTTCAGTGGTGTGTGTGTGTGTGTACAGTGGTGTGTGTGTGTGTGTGTGTTCAGTGGTGTGTGTGTGTGTGTTCAGTGGTGTGTGTGTGTGTGTGTGTGTTCAGTGGTGTGTGTGTGTGTGTGTACAGTGGTGTGTGTGTGTGTGTGTGTTCAGTGGTGTGTGTGTGTGTGTGTGTGTTCAGTGGTGTGTGTGTGTGTGTTCAGTGGTGTGTGTGTGTGTGTGTGTTCAGTGGTGTGTGTGTGTGTTCAGTGGTGTGTGTGTGTTCAGTGGTGTGTGTGTGTGTGTGTGTGTATCTACCCATCAGCTTCATTGCCCCTATGTTCCCTTCTTAAGTGTTTGTAAAAGGTAGAAGTCAGTGTGTGTTTGTTTGCGGGGTGTGGTCCACATCTGTCAAGCTGAAGGCGGATGCTAAACACTTTTATCTTTTTATAGACGTCAATAAACAATGTTGTTAGTACAAAGGCGTTGTTGAAGGCGCTGACATTTCTTTCTCTTCTTCATGACTGACCCCGCGCTTCCTCTCCGCTAATCACACGGTCAAAAACACAAGAAAAGATCCCATGTGTTGTTGTTCAGGAGGTGTTTTGAATTGTGTATTCTTGTGGAACACATCGGACATATGGTCAGTGAGACTTAGACGCTAACTTTCACATTAAGTTATTTTCTTCCAGGGCTCGAGAAACGACTATACCTCACATCACGGCAAGATTTATGGAAGTGAACATCTGCCTGAATATTATAAAGGCAAACGAGTCTGTGTGTGTTCTGCAAAAGGGTAATGCCGCTGTCAAGACACATCGGAGTCTTTATGAAGATGCTTTCTGCAGCAGACAGGTCACGCTGGAAGTACTGAGGCTCTAAAAGTTATGGGGGCGACAGTAGCTCAGTTGGTAGAGCTTTGGCCTTTGAGCCTGAAGGTCGTGGGTTCGAGACCACCGCAAGACTTTCTTCACCAACTCCCACTGTCTGCGGTTGTTGTGTCCTTGGCAAGCCACTTACAGTGCCTTGCGAAAGTATTCGGCCCCCTTTAACCTTTCAACATTTCGCCACATTTCAGGCTTCAAACATAAAGATATAAAAAATTATTTTTTTGTGGAGAATCAACAACAAGTGGGACACAATCGTGAAGTGGAACAAAATTTATTGGATAATTTAAACTTTTTTAACAAATAAAAAACTGAAAAGTGGGGCGTGCAATATTATTCGGCCCCCTTGCGCTAATACTTTGTAGCGCCACCTTTTGCTGCAATTACAGCTGCAAGTCGCTTGGGGTATGTCTCTATCAGTTTTGCACATCGAGAGACTGGAATTCTGGCCCATTCTTCCTTGCAAAACAGCTCGAGCTCAGTGAGGTTGGATGGAGAGCGTTTGTGAACAGCAGTCTTCAGCTCTTTCCACAGATTCTCGATTGGATTCAGGTCTGGACTTTGACTTGGCCATTCTAACACCTGGATACGTCTATTTGTGAACCATTCCATTGTAGATTTGGCTTTATGTTTTGGATCATTGTCCTGTTGGAAGATAAATCTCCGTCCCAGTCTCAGGTCTTTTGCAGATTCCAACAGGTTTTCTTCCAGAATGGTCCTGTATTTGGCTCCATCCATCTTCCCATCAATTTTAGCCATCTTCCCTGTCCCTGCTGAAGAAAAGCAGGCCCAAAGCATGATGCTGCCGCCCCCATGTTTGACAGTGGGGATGGTGTGTTCAGGGTGATGAGCTGTGTTGCTTTTACGCCAAACATATCGTTTTGCATTGTGGCCAAAATGTTTGATTTTGGTTTCATCTGACCAGAGCACCTTCTTCCACATGTTTGGTGTGTCTCCCAGGTGGCTTGTGGCAAACTTTAAACGAGACTTTTTATGGATATCTTTGAGAAATGGCTTTCTTCTTGCCACTCTTCCATAAAGGCCAGATTTGTGCAGTGCACGACTGATTGTTGTCCTATGGACAGACTCTCCCACCTCAGCTGTAGTTATCTGCAGTTCATTCAGAGTGATCATGGGCCTCTTGGCTGCATCTCTGATCAGTTTTCTCCTTGTTTGAGATGAAAGTTTGGAGGGACGGCCGGGTCTTGGTAGATTTGCAGTGGTCTGATACTCCTTCCATTTCAATATAATTGCTTGCACAGTGCTCCTTGAGATGTTTAAAGCTTGGGAAATCTTTTTGTATCACAAAGAAAAGAGCAGGTGCATTTATACGGAGACTTGATTACACACAGGTGCAGTCTATTTATCATCATCAGTCATTTAGGACAACATTGGATCATTCAAAGATCCTCACTGAACTTCTGGACTGAGTTTTCTGCACTGAAAGTAAAGGGGCCGAATAATATTGCACGCCCCACTTTTCAGTTTTTTATTTGTTAAAAAAGTTGAAATTATCCAACAAATTTCGTTCCACTTCACTTCACTTGTTGTTGATTCATGACAAAAAATTATAATTTTATATCTTTATGTTTGAAGCCTGAAATGTGGCAAAATGTTGAAAGGTTCAAGGGGGCCGAATACTTTCGCAAGGTACTGTAACCTCTGGGAACACCAGCCACAGTGGGGCGGCTGTGGCTATAAAGTGCCAAACTGCTGTTGTGTCCCTAGGCAAGACACTAAAGTGCAAGTTCTAAGTACAAAAGGACAAAACTTATTTGAGGACACAGAGACTTGTTCTGAGTTCTTAATTGATTTTTTTTTTTCATACATTTGATTTGAAGTGGACTCTTGATTTTAATGAAATGCAAAAAACAAACCCCATGTGTCCAGAAACAAAAACCCAACGTGATCAAATCAAAGATAGACCTGGTGGGCGCCAAAACAAACAGAATGGACAGAGTGCTGGAGAGAGGAGGAGAGAGAGGAAGAGAGCTGGACTGAGAGCTGGAGAGAGGAGGAGAGAGAGGAAGAGAGCTGGACTGAGAGCTGGAGAGAGGAGGAGAGAGAGGAAGAGAGCTGGACTGAGAGCTGGAGAGGAGAGAGAGGAGAGAGAGAGAGAGGGAAGAGAGCTGGACTGAGAGCTGGAGAGAAGAGGAGAGAGTGGAAGAGAGCTGGACTGAGAGCTGGAGAGAGGAGGAGAGAGAGGAAGAGAGCTGGACTGAGAGCTGGAGAGAGGAGGAGAGAGAGGAAGAGAGCTGGACTGAGAGCTGGAGAGAGGAGGAGAGAGAGGAAGAGAGCTGGACTGAGAGCTGGAGAGAGTAGGAGAGAGAGGAAGAGAGCTGGACTGAGAGCTGGAGAGAAGAGGAGAGAGTGGAAGAGAGCTGGACTGAGAGCTGGAGAGAGGAGGAGAGAGAGGAAGAGAGCTGGACTGAGAGCTGGAGAGAGGAGGAGAGAGAGGAAGAGAGCTGGACTGAGAGCTGGAGAGAGGAGGAGAGAGAGGAAGAGAGCTGGACTGAGAGCTGGAGAGAGGAGGAGAGAGAGGAAGAGAGCTGGACTGAGAGCTGGAGAGAGGAGGAGAGAGAGGAAGAGAGCTGGACTGAGAGCTGGAGAGAGGAGGAGAGAGAGGAAGAGAGCTGGACTGAGAGCTGGAGAGAGGAGGAGAGAGAGGAAGAGAGCTGGAGAGGAGGAGGAGAGAGAGGAAGAGAGCTGGACTGAGAGCTGGAGAGAGCAGGAGAGAGAGGAAGAGAGCTGGAGAGAGGAGGAGAGAGAGGAGAGAGCTGGACTGAGAGCTGGAGAGAGGAGGAGAGAGAGAGAGAGAGAGCTGGACGGAGGGAGAGAGAGAGCTGGACTGAGAGAGAGGAAGAGAGCTGACTGAGAGCTGGAGAGAGGAGGAGAGAGAGGAAGAGAGCTGGACTGAGAGCTGGAGAGAGGAGAGAGAGAGGAAGAGAGCTGGACTGAGAGCTGGAGAGAGGAGGAGAGAGAGGAAGAGAGCTGGACTGAGAGCTGGAGAGAGGAGGAGAGAGAGGAAGAGAGCTGGAGAGAGGAGGAGGAGAGAGGAAGAGAGCTGGACTGAGAGCTGGAGAGAGAGGAGAGAGAGGAAGAGAGCTGGAGAGAGGAGGAGAGAGAGGAAGAGAGCTGGACTGAGAGCTGGAGAGAGCAGGAGAGAGAGGAAGAGAGCTGGACTGAGAGCTGGAGAGAGGAGGTGAGAGAGGAAGAGAGCTGGAGAGAGGAGGAGAGAGAGGAAGAGAGCTGGGGGAGAGGAGGAGAGAGAGGAAGAGAGCTGGGGAGAGGAGGAGAGAGAGGAAGAGAGCTGGGGAGAGGAGGAGAGAGAGGAAGAGAGCTGGGGAGAGGAGGAGAGAGAGGAAGAGAGCTGGACTGAGAGCTGGAGAGAGGAGGAGAGAGAGGAAGAGAGCTGGACTGAGAGCTGGAGAGAGGAGGAGAGAGAGGAAGAGAGAGAGGAAGAGAGCTGGAGAGAGGATGTGAGAGAGGAAGAGAGCTGGACTGAGAGCTGGAGAGAGGAGGAGCAAAGGAGGGTGAGGAGTTGAGGCGTTGTTTTATGGAGAGCCATTGTAACCGTTGGAAAACCATTTACCCACAATTCAAAGCAACAAAACCTGTAGTAGCTTCAAAGCCAATCCCATTCGTCCATATTCACCACAACACAAGAGCCACACACGTGTCTGGGTTTCATAACGGCAGACATCATTGGTGCAGAGGAGCGTATTTGCAGACACGATGACAGTAATTACGGGTGGATGGCGGCCCTATTATCTGGCTCAAGATTCCAAGACGAGAAGTTCCCTGGCTCGGCAGTTTGGTTTCCCATTAACCCCTGTCACCCGCCTGACAGGTACGGAAGGTGGCAACGGCCAAACTTCATCTGGTTTGCACATGACATGGAACATACTGCCAACGCTGCACTGTCTGCTGGAGGCGCGGGGGACAGCAGAGACTCAGGGATAATGGCCAAAGCTGTCTAAATATAGGGGCTTGTAAAAATAAGTGGGTTAGAGGAGGAGGAGTTGTTCAGATGGGGAAGTCGTGTGAAGACAGAGCTGCTGAATGGGTAATTAAAAAGGCAGGCTGTAATTTTGTTTTAGGATTAAATCAAAAGTGACGTAGAAACACTGTGGCATTTGAGGAAAAAGTCAAAATGTTTCTGTAATTTGTACAAATCAATATTTCATGATAACTGTGGTGTAATCAATAATATGACTTCAATAGTTACATCCAACATGACATTTTCGAGTCCCTTCAAATAAAACAAGAGGAGACAAGTTTTTATAGAACTTGTCTCAATGGAGGAGAGAGGGGGCAAAGAGGAGGAGAGAGGGGGCAGAGAGGAGGTGAGAGGGGACAGAGAGGAGGAGAGAGAGGGGACAGAGAGGAGGCAGAGAGGGGACAGAGAGGAGGAGAGAGAGGAGGAGAGAGGGGACAGAGAGGAGGAGAGAGGGGACAGAGAGGAGGAGAGAGGGGAGAGGAGGAGAGAGAGGACAGAGAGGAGAGAGAGAGGGGACAGAGAGGAGGAGAGAGGGGGCAGAGAGGAAGAGAGAGGGGGCAGAGAGGAGGAGAGAGGGGGCAGAGAGGAGGAGAGAGGGGACAGAGAGGAGGAGAGAGGGGACAGAGAGGAGGAGAGAGGGGACAGAGAGGAGGAGAGAGGGGAGAGGAGGAGAGAGAGGACAGAGAGGAGGAGAGAGGGGACAGAGAGGAGGAGAGAGGGGGCAGAGAGGAAGAGAGAGGGGGCAGAGAGGAGGAGAGAGGGGGCAGAGAGGAGGAGAGAGAGGGGACAGAGAGGAGGAGAGAGAGGACAGAGAGGAGGAGAGAGGGGACAGAGAGGAGGAGAGAGGGGACAGAGAGAGGGGAGAGGAGTAGAGAGAGGGGACAGAAAGGAGGAGAGAGGGGGAGAGAGAAGGCTAAGAGCTGGAGAAAGGAGGAGAGAGAGGGCTGAGAGCTGGAGAGAGAAGAAGAGAGAGGAAGCTAGACAAGACAGAGAGGAGGAGAAAGGAGAAGAGAGAGGACAGCGACCTGGAGAGTGGAGGAGAGAGGAGGAAGAGAGAGAGGGCTGAGAGCTGGAGAGAGGAGGAGAGAGGAGGAGAGAGGAGGAAGAGAGAGAGGGCTGAGAGCTGGAGAGAGGAGGAAGAGAGAGAGGGCTGAGAGCTGGAGAGAGGAGGAAGAGAGGGGACAGAGAGGAGGCGAGAGGGCTGAGAGCTTGAGAGAGCTGGAGAGAGAGAAGAAGAGAGAGGAAGCTAGACAAGACAGAGGAGGAGAAAGGAGAAGAGAGAGGACAGCGACCTGGAGAGAGGAGGACAGAGAGGAAGAGAGGACTGAGAGCTGGAGAGAGGAGGAGCAGAGGAGGGCGGTGAGGAGGACTTTAAAGTTCAAATAAAACCAGAGGAGATACGGCTTTTTATAGAACTTGTCTCAATGTGCAGAAGAGACGTCATCACTTGAGATTTCGGTGACGCAGGTTCAAGATAAATATTTAGTAGTGACAATAAAACACATCTGGGTCTTACCATGTGTAAACTCTGGTCCATGATCTTTTCCTACATGTACGTCTGGTCTTACCATGTGTAAACTCTGGTCCATGGTCATTTCCTACATGTACGTCTGGTCTTACCATGTGTAAACTCTGGTCCATGATCATTTCCTACATGTACGTCTGGTCTTACCATGTGTAAACTCTGGTCCATGATCTTTTCCTACATGTACGTCTGGTCTAACCATGTGTAAACTCTGGTCCATGATCCTTTCCTACATGTACGTCTGGTCTTACCATGTGTAAACTCTGGTCCATGATCATTTCCTACATGTACGTCTGGGTCTGATCCTAGTGGCTGCAGTTTCCTCGGTTGAATCCCCTCCGACCAATCAGAGAGCGGGGGAGGCGGGTGTTGTAGGTCGGTGTCGGTGACGTCAAGAGTTTGTGCTGAATTTGCTGGTTGTAGTTTGTCGGAGAATGCGATAGTAAAATAATCTGTTCTGGTTCGGACTCACAGGCTGCTAACATACTCAAAAGACATACAAAAATAGACGGCTGAATCGCTCTCTCTACTTTGCAAACAAAACTCTCTGGTCTTATTTGACGACGTATCACCAGAATGATTGACATCTGGGAGGACCAACAGTCTTGATGATCCACCCGGTAATATAAAATCCTCCCATACACTGTACCTTTAACTTCCTCCTCAACACAAAATGAAGTTGTCAGCGCTGTCTTGAGGAAGTAAAACATTTTCTTTTTCGTATTCAGACAGAAAAACATGCCCTTAAGGATATTTGCTCCCGACAATCTCCTTCTTGTCTCGTCTTAAAAGCTCTGCCACATTAAAGACAAGTGTTAAATCCAGTTCAAGGTTGCGTGGTGAATGAGATGATAGAGCCACGCTGTAACACCGTCGTTGCTTTGTGACCAAAACATGATTTAGTCCGTCTCAACCACCGAGGCTGTAATTCTCATCAGTTAATTCATCCTCGTTGGAGAAAACAGCGAGTCAATATCAACCGGACCTGGCACTTTTCACACATACATAAAGAAAAACGTGGCAAAGATCTCTACGGCCTCAATTTGGCAGAAAAATAAAAAAGGCATGGACTAAACAGAGCTGTTGGAGGACTGCTTTATGCTGCAACTTTCCACAACAATATATTTATTTCATTATTTTGTGTATTTTGAACTTTTTTTTTTCTTCCTGGTGGAACATTTTGTCTGTTTCTCTGTGTATTCAAAAGATATAGGGGATGGTGGTGTTGGGTTGGAGTTTTTGGTCACTACAAACAACACTGGGAAAAATCTCTTGGAAAAAAAAAATATTAAAATAAGTAAAATACTGCTTAACATTAGAAAAAAAATATCTGCCAAAAGAACAAGAAAATATGACTTAAGATTTTTGAAAATTATAAATTAATTCTTGCCCAAATGACCGGATTCTAGTTTAAAAACATACATTTTAAATATTATTTTTTGTGCTAAAATATTTTCCTATGGTATAGCATCACAATCTTATTTTATCTAAACATGAAAAGTTGTAAGCAAAAAAATTTGCTTTCACATTAACTCATTCACTGCCCATGACGACAAAACTCGTCATGTTGAATAGTAACGCTCACTGCCCATGACGAGTTTGACGAGTTTTTCGTGTTATTACACGGGAGGCTGCAGTAATGTCTGGCGCACCTTTTGAATGACCCACAACACTGATATATAGTGCAAATGTACCTGTAATGATAAATCACCACCAGTAGGATGCAGTATTGCACCACAGGAGAGGTCATAAGTCAGTGGAGAGGAGGAGGAGAAGTGTGGGAGTGTTTGGAGAGCGTGCTGCTGTAGCAGAGCGATGATAGCGTAGCATTGAGACAGATCAGCGATCTAGTTTAGCAATAGTATAGCAAGAGTGATGGCGAAAAAGAATAGTTATAAGCAGCTGACACTGCTTCAGAGATTGACTCGCGGATCAGTGAGTGAGGTCGAGAGGGGAGAGAGTGGAGACCCCGGTGGAGGTCCGTCTCTGCAGCCCAGAGCCCGGAGCAGGGACACACGCCTCTCGCAGCGTATCAGCTGCTGTTGTTACTGATGCCTCGGATTCGTTCAGCAAACCTGATCATGATTTATCGGACACACTCACAAACACTCACACGCACTCACTCACTCACTCACGCACACAGACACTCACTCGCACACTGACATTCACACACACAGACACTCACTCACACAGACACTCACTCGCACACTGACATTCACACACACACACACTCAAATTCACATGCTTCATTCTATTTTATACATCTATAGTTTTATTGATCTTTGTGTTGTTGTTGTTTGACGTTTTGGTTGATGGTATAGAAGAAAGTTAAATTTTCTATCTGTGAATAAATTGCCAACAATTTGCCATCAAAAGTATTATTTCAGAGTCATGTTTTTATAATTTTTGTAATGGAACAAGTGTGAAGATGTTTTGAGTTGTCACTAAAGCAGCACAAATGCATCTAAAAGTCTCTTTTCTGCTTGATATGTTCCTGTTTACATACAGCTCGTTTTCTTGCTCAGACCAGGTGTTATGGGTGAAAGTATGCTTTGTTCTATGGTGAATAACGCAAGAACGGTAAGAGGTAGAAACAAACTGTTTTTTTCAGAGTAAAGCAGAGAGGTGAATCTTTAATTTGGTGCCCTTGGTGTTTACATCGTCTAAAAAATGAATATTCTGTGGCACTTCAAAGTTGGGTCAAATCACCTGAAATTGCTGGCAGAATGCACTTCTCAAATCTGAAAATGCCTGGCAGTCAGTGAGTTAAGTTAATTGCTTTTTAGGGCATTTATACATTGAATTTTTAAGCGAGGCTAAAAAAAAAACAGGTTTTTTTCCCAAACTTCAAAGGATGTTGAGTGAAATAGGAATGACATACATTATTTCAGTGTATATTTACATAAACTAGAAGGGCCTAGCTTTAAAATGATGCATCACACAAGCATGTGAGATGTAAGATGTGTTTTTAAATAAGCAAAGACATTTGGGTATGCCAAACTTTTGTGCACGAGCCAAAACAGATGTAGGAGCTAAAGAGGTT